GGTGTTGAGAAGTCACTGGACTTGTTTTAACTGGCAGATGCTCGGTGGTGCCAAAGATGCTACCTACATAGTATATGTATTGAGTTGGACACTGCTGATCTTTATGTATTTATTTGGAAACAAGTGTTCACCCTATTTTGTATAAAAAAAAAACCAACAACCAAACAATAAAATTAATGCAGTCTTGCTCTGCTGGTGTCTTGTACTTTAATACTGTATTGATTCCTCCCCAGATCTAGTGAATACATACAGGGACAAAAGTTAGAAGGCAGCAAATTCCTAGGCCCCAGACCAGCTAGAAAAGTTCAGTAAATGAATTAAAAGAAAAATATTAGCAGACCTGAGCCTCACCCCTTCTAATCATGCACCCGAAGAGTTGCAAGAAGGTGGACCCAAGGACTCTTTTATATCATAGATTGGGCCATCAGCCAAAGGACTTCTCCACCCACCACCTCCTTTAGACATTTGTGTCTCATTAGCTCATGACATATTACTTGGGTTTGGCAATATAATCTCATACAGCATGACTCAATACAATTTCTTTTTGTAAAGAATTTTCCTTGGATGTATAAAAGCTTGCCTCAAGTGATTGACTATCCCTGCTACTTGCAAACCAGCAGGCAGTCTGCTGGTCAATTTACCTGAGTATTTTCTCAAGTACAGTAGTTTTGCACAATTATTCTATCATGGTGGTTCTGGTGCTTATGTAAAAGGTCATATAACATGAAAAATGACAGAAAAGGATGTATTTTTCCCATACTCAAGTGGTATTTTTTCAAGTGGAACAAGGGGTGTCAGCGAACTAATCACTGCTCTTTGACATATACAATGGCAGTGAAATAATGTTAAAAAAAGGCACTGAAGCTCCCTTGCAGTGGACCACGGTTAGTGTTTTTAGCTTTAGTTTTAGCATGATTTTTTAAAAACTAGCTCAGACATCACAACTGGAGTTTTGAAATTCTATCTTAGTCCACTAGATGGTGATCCCTGTAAATCAGGATTCAGGTAACTAAACAAGACTCAGGATGTCAACCATAAAAAAAAAAACCAAACAAACAAAAACCAACAACAACAACAACAAAAAACTACAGACTAGTGTGCAGAATAAAAAAAAAAACTTGGTTACAATATGTCATGATTTGCATCAGAAACCTATACAAATTCCAAAACAAGGTTGAGAAATTGCTTGAGCATAGAGCTGCACTGTGCCCTCGGTATTATTACATCCATGGGCATACTGAGGTCCAGTCACCAAGAAAACTGAACTTGATATCACTTTCTTCTCATTGCAGATCAGTTTGCAACATCCAATCTTCAAACCCCTTTTGGAAGCTCATAATGAAATCTACACCAAGGCACTGTGATTATTTGATGCTGCCTTCAATGCACACACATTTAAGCATATTTGATTTTTCTGCATAGTATTCACAAAATTCCATACCTAATCTTAACATAAAACAAAGGCTTAGTATATGGTAATAGAAATGTTTTATTAATCAAATATATTTACATTTCTTCGTCTTCTCTTTAAATGTGTGCCTGTTATTTTAATTTAAACACAATGTAATCTTTACAGTTGATATCACAAGAATACAGCTACATGCATGACTTAATTGGTCCTTTGCAGTAAAAAAGATGCAATTTTATGAAGTTTAAAAAATGCAAGCTGTTTACCTTTCTAGTTACAGTGTCATTATTGTTTTTATTACAACAGAGGACCCCTTCAGAAGACTCTACATCTATTGGATAAATATATGCACTTTTTCAGATTGGTTTGATGGTGTCAAAACTTCAAAAATTTAGACAAATATAAAAAAGACTTCATGCAGTCCAGAATATTTTATTCTCTGGAATCTTATCCACAGAAAGGACTTGGATGGAACAGAAGCGTGCTTTAATTGTAATTTTTTTTTATTTAAATCATAGCAATTGATGACTCTCAAAAGCAATGAGGACTTTCACCTATTTATTCATCTGAAATTACATCATTTGGTCAGCTGTAAGACCACATCACATAACGTAATGGCACCGCACAAATAATAAATAGCAATTAAATGTAGAAATGATGTTACCAAAAGATAAGATATACACATCATTGCTTGTAAATTTTGAGTATGTAATGTGTTGTATTTATTACATTATTCCCAACTCAGCTTTCTTTCATGGGAAGACAATCAAATTGTACTAAAAATATCATCTTTGGGATCTATAACTGCAAGTTGATAAAGGACCTAATGTCTTTCTGAAAGAAATAACTCAGTGAATGTCTAAAATTTAATTCCACACTGAAAAAAAAAATCAGAACTAGGCACAATTTTTAAATATGACTTCCAACATGTTCAGGGTTGGACAAAAAAATTAAAAAAAAAAAATTAAAAACAAACTAACAACAAAAAAAACAAAAAACAAACAAACAAACAAAAAAAAAAAAAAACACAAAAAACCCAAGCTTGTATTTATTTACTGGACTACAAAACAGATATGCCAAGTGCTTCAGAAATTCTGAAATGGCAGGCACATAATCACTACATTTAAAGATAATTGTACTACACTTACTGCTTCAGTTTAGTGTGTGCAAACACATACTGTATTTATAATAGACCTACATGTATGGTTGTTCTGTCAATACACGAACAGAAACTCACTCATCATTCAGGAAGTGTAGACAGGAACTAGATTCTGTTTAGTCCTAGGATGCATTTTAGCTTGTCCATGTTAATTTTACATTTGCTATATTATAATGGAATGCCAGATATTTTACTCAAGAAAAATCCACTATAAAACCATAGGTTTTCACTGACGTGCTTTTGTATGCTGACAAATCTGTTGTGAAAGTGCCATGTATAAAATAATACAATAACTGAAACTGTGCTTAGGTATCCGGCACAACACAGTGATTTACACAAGAAAGAATTATTTGGAAGAAAAAAAATAAATTCTGCGGAAATCCTACTCTGGTACATTTTTTAAAAAATCCAGTAAAATCTTGAAATAATTGATCTTTACTTCACGCCCATTTAGGATAATATTTAGACACATGTTTAAACACATATGAGTAAGACTATATTCAGCAGGGAACTTGCAATATCTGTAAGCACATACTTATGTGCTATCAGCATTATAGGATTCAGATATCAGTCCCTTTCTCCAAGAGGCTGAATGCCTTGCACTACCACTAACCACATCCCTGAACAGGAGAACACAGTTAGATAATGCAACACCACAAGTCAGTGATCTAACAGATACCTCACATTTGCTTTTCAGGGCATGACATGTCTCTTTTCCCAATTACTCTATTTATATATATTTTTTTTTTTGGTGAGAATATATACTTGCTTGCAGAAATGATCTAGAGCTGCTGATTTTTTTAAGCGATGGTGCCCCACCAAGATGTTTCTTTACATTAAGTCTCTTAAATAAAGGAAGGTGCAAGTGACCAGACGAGAGGGTCTGAAAGGTTTAGGATTAGATTTTGGGTTTTTTTCTGTTTGATTACCCTTGCTAGGAACAAAACAGTGTTCAGATAGTCATCTTTAAGTTACAATTCTTCCTACCCAGCTTCCCATGTTTCTTTGAGCTTAAAAAACAAACAAACAAACAAACAAACAAACACATTTATATAGTAGCTAAGGATCTCTCATAGTTTGGAGGATAATATCAGACAAGTGACGACAGAATTGCTCACTCCCCATATCTCTGCACTCATAAACAGAGCTGAAAAACCCACAGGGCCGAAGCCTCTGTATGAGATAATCTGGTACTTGATAGAACAATGATTAAAAGAATTTTTTTTTCAACAATGTTTTACATTTTTAATGGCCAAACACACATACAGTAACTCCTGAAGTAATTCCCTGCAAAGCTTTGGAAACTCCAGATTCTGCAGTATAGTTTCTGCAATATAATAAATGAACATCCTGAAGTAAGGATATCTTAGCTTTTAAGTTCCTTTTAAATGTATTTGAATTTTACTGCATGCTCTTTTTCTGCTTGAGCTCTTTGCAGAGTTCAAAAATGGTCTGAATCTGTTATTAAATTTGTAGCTGATTCTGTCTAGCCCTTTACAGATCTGGATACTTAATTCTCTACATATTTAAAATCATCCCCATAAATGTTTTTAAAATATTTAATATAATCAACTGAGCCCTTATGAGCCACCCAGTACTTCAGTTTTGGTACAAAACTGAATTAATCTGTTTTAATCCCCATAATCTCCACAAATTTATTTTGCAGTTTTACCTTATGATATAGCATGACCTCAGAACTCGTTAGGTTTTGCTTCTTGCTTGTTGGTGTGGTTTGTTTTCTTTTTTTTTTTTCTTTTTTTTTTTTCTTTTTTTTTTTTTTTTAATACATTTTTATCAAACTACAGGTCTAGCATTGAGACAATCAATATACAAACAAACACTGCTGGTCTCAAAAAGTGAAAACCATTCTTTGATTAGACAAAATCATGAAATCTGAAATACATCAAGGAAAAAAGCTTGAAAAAAGCCAATATGGAAATTATTAAATTGAACCAATGAAATGACATCTGATCTTTTTACATTGATGTTGGGAATACTTTGGCTTCCTTTCATTTATGACCATACCAGGCAATTTTCCATGAAGTGAGTACTATGAAGCCTCCAAGCCATTTACAAAGTGTCTGAGTTCAGATTCAGCTTTTGTTTTGAAGCTTAGCCCAAGTATGTTGAAAGTTTCATCTAATACAGTAGCATTTTCAGTTTCATCCAAACCAACAGAGTAAAAATATCAATGGACTACAGCTTGGATTTCTGATCAGTTTTCCTAGAAATCAGCAAGCCATTAAATCAATCACCCAAACAAAAAACATCATGTTGGTTTTTTGCTACTTATTATACAATTTATATGTAGACTGGAATCTTAAACATTTAAAATACTTTCTACTGCCTCTGTCTTTCATAGCTATTAGACTGAATTTGAGAGCTCTATCAGTTTAACATAGTTTTCCTACTGGCTTCTTAATATAATGTATATTTGCAGATATACAACATTCTTTTTTTTTTTTCCTTTTTTTTTTTTTTCCTTTTTTTTTATTTCCCCAGAATATCTATGCCAACACAATGTTGTTGAATGAAACTACTTGCATGAAAAAGTGCACACAGTGTGAGGCATGAGACTATGGAAATGAAATGCCCTTTGGTCTGAGGAGGCTGACACTGACCCAGATATAGCTCTTGATCACTTCGCATCCCACACAGCAATCTCTATTATAGCCATGTCAAGATCAACTTAGCCCAGCTCAGCCAAATGTACGGATTACATCTGGGTCCTTTGAGTCATGCTACAAAAAAAGGTGCAACAATAAACAAGTCCATGTGCATTCTCAGTCATAACTATGGGCAGAAGAACCCTTGAGATTCCTCACTTTGGTATTAAATAACAATTATAAAGGCTTTTAGAATTAAAGCAATACACGGCAGGACTTGAAATGTTAACAGTCCCAAGTAACTTGTCAACTGAAATAAGACTCATCCCTAGTCATAAATAAATAATCTCTTTCCTGGTCTCACTTCCACGCCAGGATCAATATCTCTTAACATCTTACTTATTTTATTACTGCTTTTGGTTTTCCGGGACTGATTGAAAGTTGCTCAGAGGAAATCTTTGGTTTTGCTTAAGTGTCCGTGACATTTAATCATGACTTTCCTTGCAGTTTAATTCCAACCAGTCAATCAGTTAATCCACTTCAATTGATTCTGTGCTCTCTGTTATTGGCTTGCACTCATTGGGCATCCTCTGGTGTCGACTCAGCTGGGTGGCTTGTGTGAAGCTCCTCTCACACCTCTCGCACCTGGTGAAGGCAAGAGAGAAAATTGAGACCAGGGAGCTGCTCTGGGGGGGGGTGATGGGCTTTGTCTCATCCTGCTTAATCAGAACAGACACTCAAAAGTGGCTTCAGATTTTACTGGCTCAAGAGGTTTAATTGGTGGCTACTTCCAAGGCCTTGATGCCTATGATGGGACAAGGCCTGTCTGATTCAGAACAGAGGAATCTGTCAATAGACAGGGGGAAGGTGATTTCTCCAGAGAGGCCTGTCCTGCTGTAGCTCTGATCACTGTCAGTTCAAATAGATAAAGAACAAAAAGAGATTTTTAGGAGTGAGCCATCAAAGAAGAAGCTTGTCTGCAGTTTTCTGGTCTGTAACCCCTAGGAGAAATTGATGACAAATAGAATTTCACCTTCTGCTAATTTAAAATCCACAATTGCCTATTGGAGGAAGAGAAATCACAAAGCAATAATCGTTCAGTGCTAGAACAAGACAAAACTCTTTGTTTGTCTGATCTGACTATGCAGTGGGGCTCATTTTAAATAGGCACATAGAGTTAGTGGTTACTTAATTGTCTGAAAACATCCACACTATTTAAGAAATGTGAGGATTGAGCAAGAACTCATAACAGTCACCAGTGTTTGCTTCACTGTATTTTATGTCCTCTCTTTTTACCCTGTCCTCTCTTTAGAGAACCATAATCTGCAACAAAAATCACATGTGAGCAAATGAACAAAGCCATTGAATTTTGGAGGGAATAGGATGAGGGTTATTGCTAGCTTGGAATGAATCCCCTGTCCCTTCTCTGAAAGAGATTCCATTTTATTTAATCTCCCAAATACTGCCCTCTTAATTTGCATTCTGAACACTAGATAGGGGTGTTTGATGAGTCACAAATACGGACACAGCAGATTCTTCTTGTATGGCGCTTGCTCCAAAAACCACCTTTGATTTAATGGTTCTGTGTGATGTTTTATCTTCAAAGAAGATTATCATAAAAGCATCGTTACAATGAATTCTTCACCTTCAAAGGAGAAATGAAGAAAACAAAGGGCTCAGTTAATTCATATTCATCTTTCTCTCTTTACTGATGTGAATGAAAGTGAACTGTCACTGATCTAGCTTCTTACAAAACAAAAAAAAAAAAAAGGAAAAGAAAAAGAAAAAAAAGAGAGACATGAAAGATATTTACACATATGCATAATTGTGGAATGTTCTTCACATTAGTAATTTTTAGTAAGAAAGTTCTTCTTCAGGAACATACAGCATAGACATTACAGAGTCATTCATCCAAGATACTGTACCAATCTAAAATGTCAACACTTTTAAGTTGTGTTTCTTTGATTGTCTTTCGTGGAATATTTTTAGCAGCCTGTTCCACTGTTAAAAACTGCACTGTGATCTTGACAAATGTAAAATGTCAGCTTTAATGTATCAGACCTATCAGCTCAATGAAAATAACTCAGAAGTATTGATTACTTAATGATTTTTGGGGTATTCATTAACGTCCATGTGCAGATCATCCACTCTCCAGAGCTCCTGAAGTGCTGATGACACATTAGTGTACTGCTGATTGTTTATTAGAAAACTGATTAGTTACTGGATTAGTGTGTCAAAATATACTACCTTTCATTGCCTGACAAACTTGCAAATTATTGTATTATTTTTATATACATATATATATATATATATCACATAGGCATTAGAATCAATTTTAAGGCTGGGGGGTTAACTTAGTCTATATGAGATATTGCCATCTACTTGAACTTGATAGTTTTGCTATTTTGATGTCTACAAAGACGAGTGCTTTGCTTGCTGAGTAATAGGAGGCTTGGATCCTTGCCTAACCAAGCTGTAAGTGGTACAGTTTCAAAATAACCTACAAAATCAGGTATGGCAACACCCGACTTGTACGTGGCTGGCCAAATAAATGAAATCTACTCTATCAAGATGCCTACGAGCCATATGTGAATTAGAGAAAGACTATAAAGTGGTCAAAAGACAGAGTTACTCATTAAAAGTGGTAGCCACGAAGCTCCTTACCCTTTCTGAAGCTTGTCTGGAAGGCTAGAGCTGGACTCTACATTCATTCAGGACCTTCTATTGCTCTTGAAAGCACAGAGCAAGGCTCACTGTATTTCTTTAAAATGCAAGTTCCTGTCCTTTAGACACAAGCTTCTGCCATGAGAATGCTCTAACTTCTCAGCTACAGGCTGTTCTGGGACACTTTCATACAGAACACAAGAAAGAGGGATGCTAAAGAAAGACCAGAAAAGATGTCTTGCTACAAGCATCTACCCTTTAGACAGATGGGATTTGGGTGCCAAGTGCTGCTGCTAGTCAGGCTGTGCTGCCTGAGCTATACAGGCCTTGGGCAAAAGTCGGAATAAAGCCTTTGGCAAGGCATCTAATTCTCCTGGATTTCTCACGTACGAGGGTAACTTTCAGATAGTACCCAAGGTGCCTAGAATTTTCTAGGCACTTGCAAAGGGTGTGGATGATGTTTTCAGGACTACAGTTTTGGATATATAAGTACCTGGCTTACAGGCTTACAGACCCACATTATGTCCCTGACGAATCTGTTGAATGTAGTCCAGAGTTGTTGCCAGGTAAAAATTGATAGGGAAGGAGAAGGTAACAGTGTCACAGCAGTCATCATGACTATCTCATGGTAGGTAAGAATGGGAGGAAAAGCAGAAATATTTTTTCTTTTGAATCATGATGTTCTTCTTCCCTCTGTCAACCACCGTTTCCCAGCCTGTCATAGCAGAATAGCCACTGCAATGACCTGTGTCTATGAGACTGGTGATCATGCGTGTGTATACTTTTGTGTGCATGTTTCTATACCACAAGCCATACATGTTTAATGTTGTGTTGGAAGGTTGAATAGTAGCCAAAAAAATCAGAAAGGAAAGAGAGTCCACCTCTCATATGACCACTCACAAAGTAACCATGGGACTGAGCCCAAGCCTGGCTATTAGACGTACATCAGACTTTTGGTTAAACCTCAAGTGTAGATATAAGTATTGGCAATAATGATGCCTATTAACTGAGAGACTATTTAATTTCCACTTAAGATATCTGATGACATTTAAGGGTAGTTTAAACTGACCCTGACAAAATGTAGATCCAAGGAAGCAGTTTAAAAGTCCTCACACAATTAGATGTCATCAGTGAAAATTAGGTCCATATTATCTTTCTTTACAGTGTGTGTATGTGCCTTCAGTTTAATTGTAAGGAGCAATCCTGTACTCCAACATTTAACCTCATCAAACACAAGACTTTATCCTACCACAAGATTTTCCTATATGATTTTCTTGGGCAAGGGTAGTAAAAAAATGGTTCTTAAATTCACAAACAACATGGATATTTCTAAGGCACCAGGTTTTCTGAGTTTGGTGAGATAGCCCTCATTGTCACTGGTCTTGTTTGCTTCATAGTGCTTTCAAAAAATTGACATTGAGGATTATAGACAGGTTTGGTTTAATTCCCAAGTTTATGTCAACCTTTGTGAAAGGCTTTGGGTGAAGAAAATGTGGACAGACTGTTTTAGGAAAAAAAAATCTTCATTTGATATTTTCAAAATAAATATTTAAAGATTTCATTCAAGAAATACACATAACATTAAATTTTAAACTCATTTGAAAGGGTTTAAAAAAAAAATTCAAAAAACAGGACAAACATGGTATGTCACTGCAAGTAAATCTATATTCAACCTGAAACGAATGATCCTCAGTTTTACGTTTCAGTAAGAAACAATGAAAAACACTTGGGTTATCCCAGTATGAAAGAACCTTTCCTCTAATTGTTTTTTATTAACTCCTGAATATTAGGTGTTTGTGTAACTCTGATTCTGCAGGCAATTCCCTTAACTATCCTTTAATTTTGCTGAAATGGAAGAAACTGGGGGGTAAAAATTTAAGAAAACAAGGATGGCCAATAATTTTCTTTTTTCTCCTACCTTCTAATTTACTTAAGAGCTTTGCTCCCAGACTAGCAGCCATAGTGGAGACTTCAGTAAGATAAGAATACACAAAAACTTTACAGTGTTGAGGCTGACTTGATAGCTTGTGATGACATGAAAAGAAATCCCTTCTAACTGGACCTGCAGTCCAGGCAATGCAGCTAAAGCTTTGACTACAGATAACCTCACTTAGCATTGCTATCTGTAACGAAAAGCAAATAGAAGTCTTCCACCATACATCCAAAGTTACCTAGGACCTACACAGAAAGTGCCTTCTCACAGAAGAAGCTTTTTAACCAATCACAGACTTCCACTTAAAAAACAATTAATATGAAATATTTTAAAATACTGTCACCCTCTGTTCACCATTTTTAAAACCACCTTCTGAAAATAATATGCATACAAACATACAGTTAGTGTTTGTCATTGTCTGCTTACACCATGCACACTGTAATTTGTTCAAATACCACTTAAAACATAATTGCCTTACTGCATTAGAAATAGTGAGATTGCATTCACAGTAGATGCAAGTTAACTGTCCAGTTGACTGCCCATTTTCACCTGTGAAATTGAACTTAGTAGTACCTTTAATAATATGCCTGTTATTTTAAAAACAACTTAACTAGAATTTAAGTAAGTTACCACTATCCATGCATGGTTGTTCTTGCTAATAATAAAAATATGATTGAACAGAAGTATGTACATTACCACAAATACAGTCTTTTTTGAGGTACAAAACCCCTATTTCAATGGACTTTTCCATTCTGCACTTTTTTTGGTAAGCATATACTCAAAATCCCTTTGTAAACAAATATTTAAAACCTAAATTGCATGATCAAGAGACAGAAATCTTGTTTGTCCCATTTATGGTTCTTGTTTACTAGAATTTGTTGAGGTTTTTTTCCTAAACTTACTTAATACCGGGTCTGGGACCCCTCCTTTTCAAAGGAGGACCTAAATGGTGATGAGACATCAAGATGAGCTGCAGCTATCTCTTTGTCCTCCAGCAGAGAGGGTGGATCAATTTCTGTCTTAAGTTTTCTGCCCCTCCTCTCTCAAATGCAAGCAGTCCTGCATGGGAGGCAAATCTTCCCTTCTGAACAGCTTGCAGGATCAGGGCGTATGTGTTCCCTTATCTGACTAGCAGGGATGGGAAGATCTGCAGCTCCAGTTTTAGCTTCACGTGAAATTATTCATTGGCTTACTGCAAATATTTCAACGTATCTTCCAGAGAGAAATCGGTACTACTGTTTCTTAAGTTTAAGGAAGAAACTAAATAAATATCTTACAAGAATGAAATTATACCATATATCATAAAGAAGCAGTACAAAACATCCACACATCTTGTTGTTCTGCCCTCCAGCTTTAAGAATGGGTGAATACATCCTGGAATACTTAAATACTTCAGCATAAGCAGGGCAAAACAAACAAACAAACAAACAAATCCCAGACCACTGGTTAATTGTAGTACATACATTAAGCCCTTTCACAAATAGAACTGTGCTGTAGTCAAGACCATTTTGGAAAAGGGGAAAAAAATTACTAAACCAAAGGGGAAAAATAATGACTCTAAATGGGGCAAAATAGCAGATCTATTGGAAACATGACAAAAACAGGATGTTAAGGAAAAAAATTAAGTGGAGTCAACAAGGTTACACATAAGTAACACCTTAACGTTAAAAGAAATCTATTTTCCATTTTGACCTGGAAACCTCTTCCATTAATTACTAAAATCTATTTACACAGCAACTAGATAAAATCAATCTGATTGTTCACAGTATTTTTGGCTGACTTCCTATGGGCTCTGAGCATTCAACAGACTAGCTCTAGAAGAGTTATGTTTAGATGCTCTAAGTTTCCATGTTTTGCCACCTACAGCACTTTCCTCGCTGTGATTTCTGGTATGCAAGCTCTTCTGTACTGGATATGCAGTATTTGGTTTCTGGCTCTGTCCCCTTGCCCCCAGCAGAGACACATATGGAAGCCATGATTCCTTTCAACCATATATGGAGGCAAAGCATCTCTACTGGTATCTCTACCAAGCTTGTTATGAGGGGTTCTGACAGGCCCCATGGCTGAGCTCTCTTACATTAACCAGACCGAGATCACAGTATGACAGAAGTAGAAAAGAAAGACAAATGGAGAAAGTAGATGGAGGACAGACATTCCTTGGAGAACTGGGAGAGACACACACCTTCTTCTACGGTTACTTCCATCCCTCCTAGAAACATCAGGTAGCTTCCAAAAGAAGTGATATCAATACATTATACATCTATATCAATACATTATTTTCTTCCAAAATGGGATTGTTTCAGGTACAATATCTATAACATTTGTGCCTGTAAGCTCAGCAAAGACACAGACACAAATACGGAAAATTTGTATTCTGTCTTGGAGAACACCTCCTGTTAGGTAGACAGAGTCTTGCACAACAGAAGGTAAAATCCAAATGGATCAGCCGTGGTATGGCTGGATGTAAACAGAAGGAAAATTTCGGAGACTCAGATCTGTGCTTGGCTTTAATTTCAGTAAGCAGAAACTGCAGAAATAAGCAGAGTCTGTTTAATTAAAAATCATCATCTTGACAAGATGACTTTTATTTTTTTCTTATATCTTGGACAGCTGAACACCATGAAATTATTATTATGATCTGACCAAACTTATGCCATAAACCCAAGGTGTATTTTCTATGCAAACTTTAAAAAGATGCATATTTCTTCCCCATATTTAACTAGATCCAAATTAGCTTTTATATGAATCTCCATCTACTTCAGCATACAGACATCAAAGAATCATATTAATGTTCTTGCAGCATAGTCTGCCCTGCTCTGCAGTGTATTTTCAGCTATGATTCCCTGGCAGCAGCTTGTCATTTAATTAAAACAATCCAGTTCTCATCAGAAGACAGAAAATTGCTCAGGGCTTGCAAGGCACCCAAACCCAAGCCTGGTTTAATTCTGATTTTAGCCACCCCACTAACAGTTTTATCTGGTCGTCTGCCCATGGTTTTCAAGGGAACCTCTGCCGTGTGCTGGTATGGAGGGGTGATGCTAGTGAACAGCATCAGTGCATTTCCCTCTCTAACCTCGGCAGGTGAAGGCTACTGGCTTCAAGTACTTACTTGAAGGGTTTTTCCCCAGTGTGTGTCCGGATGTGATTGTTGAGTGTTGTGGCACCAGCAAAGGCACGACCGCAGTAGCCACACTTGAAAGGCCTGTCACTGGAGTGCGTAACTACGTGGTTCCTCAGCTCTGAAGGTTGGGAGAAAGACTGGGAGCAGTGACCACACTGGTAGGGCCTGCAATGGGAAAGAGAAACGCCATGCCATCAGTGCTTTCTATTGATGTGAGCAGGAAACCATATGGGGAGGAACATCTGGCCTTCCCAGTAATTTCCAAAGAGAACTGTAGGTGCACCTCTCTGGGGCTTTCATGGGAGACACATACCCAAAACTTCATGATCACTTTAGCAAATGTGAAATGCTTGTGCAGGAATTGACTGAGAGTCTGTGGGCATCATACTCCACAAAACATAATTCAGCAAGCTAGTGAGCCAGCACTACGCACCACAGACCTGACTTATTTCTCGCAAACCCAATGTGGTACCCCTTAGTCACAAAAAACTCCTCACACATCAGAGATAAGAGACTCATGAAATCCTCTGTCTGTTAGTGCCAGCTGCAGTCTTACCTACAGAAGCATGTCTGATTGGTATATCTATATCTTAGGTGGATTCCGTGACTGTTAGAAATTAAATTTTTCATACTGCTTTGGAGGAATCTAGGCTTTTTGAGTTCACCTTTTTCAGTGAGAGACATTGGAAAAAAATAGCCACCATGTTACAATTACCTATTTGCTTACTGCTATTGAAAATATTTGCATTTCATTAGCACATTTCTCCCATCCAGACTGAAAATGCCCTTTTTTGTGATCTTGAAACGAAACCCAGAACTTAGGTTTTCAACACCACATTTTGTTAAAAACAAACATAACAAACAAACAAAACTGACTGATATGTTACAAATTCAGAATCATAATGAACAGACTGCAAATACAGAAAGAAAAGGATACAAGACAGCAAGGTAAGACAGGACTGCTGAAATGCAAATATCATTGCTGACCAAAATAAAATGTGAAGAAATAAAGTCTATATATTTCTGTTTGGCAAAAGTGATTTAATATCAACATCCTATAGGGCTTTTTTCCTTTTCACATTTGATTTAATTTAGTGGCAGAGTCCTACATGCTCATCAGACTTTTTAAAGAAAATAAAGAATTTTTCTGGAGGGTTATTAATGATTTTTACTCTGCACAACAGTTTAAGGCACAGCTCTTGCTGTCTGCATTTCTAGAGCCAATGGCCAACACCAACATAATTGCTCTCTCTGTAATAAATGTGTATGTTTAAATAGCTAGAAACCAAAACTAAAGGGAAGGAGACAATGGTGACCAAGCATGTACAATTCAATTAAGTGCAAAATAAAGTGAACTATCTCATTTGTCAAGTGAACTGCTTAATTGTGGCTACTTGCATCACTGAACACAAATACTATTATTTTACAGTGCTTCAGAGCACTGAACCCTGATTGTAGAATTTTTTAGCTTGATTAATAGCTCAGTATTGGTCAGTAACTCAATAGCTTACAATTTTAATTACCTACATTTGAAAATCTAACTGCTCTCCAACAAGTTTGAAAGAAATATATAAAAGCTGTGGGAAGGTTATTTAATCTAGATGATGTGGCCCTTAAAAAAAAATATTAATATATGTAAAATAATATTTTAAGAAAAAAAAATGCTGAATATATGTTTCTTTTATTGCAAGATAAGTCATAGCATGGACAGTCTTCTCCTTTCTTGAAGTGCACAGTTAATTTGCACAGAAAATATTTATCAAGCTCAACATGAAAATTCAAGTGTTGGTAATACAAAGATGTGTGAATGCAGACTTATTTGCTTGGGTATTTTCAAATCAAACACTTCTAAGCAAAAAGAACACATTAAGATATTCTGTATCCAAGAAACATTGATTTTTTTTAATAGTGAAAGGGACCATTAACATCTATTAGCCTCTGGTTATCTATTTTTAACAGCTACCACAATAAATGATACAACACTACATAAAACCAATTAATCTTTTATTTTTTTAACACTCAATGTGATTAATTTCATACAGTGAAAAGTCACACTGTAACTTGTCTGTAAATAGTCAAAATTCCAAATCAGTTATAACTGAATATTGTGATTCCAAGCAAAATGTTTTTACCCCCTACACTGACTCAAAACAAATTTCTTGTTTACAAATGATATTAATGTATGTACTCAGAATACATTTCACTGGCTGATGCTCAAGAAAAAGAGCCCTGTAAAAAATCACCTACTGTTAGATCACTTTGACTGTATTTTTTCCATTCATCTATATCTTGGGAGAACAACTATTAAAGAAGTTACCCTCCTTTCTGCAGTGAATGTATTTCTCCAGTTTATACACAGGTGATTCTGATTAATACTAAAATGGGCAAAATAAGTATTTTTTTCAAGCTAGATACATTGCACACATTAAACAAAACCAATTTTAAAAAAGAAAGCCTATAAATGCATTGAAATACTATAACAACTTAACAGTGCTGTATCCAATTTACACAACTGCAGATTCAAATATGCCAAATTTTGAGAACTTTTGGATATTACTATTTTTTCCAAGAGCAAAAAAAGTCATTCAATAAGTATAAAAGTTATCATTTTGTTCCCTGGTAACCATTTTACTGTGCTTAGAAATTTTTCTTGGCAGAAAAAATCAATATGCTGTTTTGAAAAAAAATGAAAGTGGTGCAGAAGGACTGAACATGAGTAATGCTCGGTTCAGTGAGTACATTAACACAGGCAGAGCAGGCCTGTCTTTGATGTAGCCGTTATGTCTTCTGCCATCACTTTGGTCTGCACTGGGACAATGAATTAAGATGGTGACCTCTTTATAGCAGTTGTTTGTAGACAGAAGAAACAGGGACACAGTGACAAAAACAGTGGTCTTCATAGGCTGTGTTTACAAAGATGTGCTGCTAAACTGAACACAGTCCCAGCCCAGAAGAACTAATTTCCACTGGAATAACTGAGAAAATATTGTACCTTCTTGAGCTTCAGGGTATCCATGTGAATATAAACATAGCTGTGTCACAGCCCAGATGTGTGTTGATACTCCAGAAAATTAATGTTCCAACAAATTGGATGTCAGTCACTTCATAAATGCCTACATAACAAAACTATTCCTTTGCAGATGTACAGGAAGATTTGCAAGCTTGAAAATAATCAGTTTGATGAAACAGGTGTACCAGGACCTCAAAGTACATGCTGACTCTCTGAAGAAATGTTCTTTTCTATAAAAATTTGTTCTCCAGCTATCATGTACCAGAAACAACATAGTTTTGAATGTCTTCATCATTGCATTTTCCACAAAGAATCTTGAAGGCCCTTCCAGATGTAAATTAAGCCTGATCAAAATCTTCTCAGATAGTATTTTTAAAATACATTTAAGAACAGCTAAACTGATATATAGCAATGTGCAAATGAGAATGATGTGCTGACAGCCATCAAAAGCAATTCTAACGTTTTTCATTAAACACCTAGCTAGATATTTTTCTAGTTCTCTGTCTTCCTGTCTGAGCTTAAAGAAAGGAAATTTACTTACCTAGAAGCAAATTCTACTGTTAGAAAAATTACACTGTTGTCATTATCCCCATATACCATCAATCAGCTATATAGATTTACTAATATGTGGAGTCCAACAGCTTTTTCTAGAGACCCTAGTCTTACAGTCACTGACTATATGATGGCCCATTATAGGAACACAGGTCATTTAAAGTGAAATTGAGGAAGGAGTAACTGTAATGTAATAGTTTTAGGTTTTGTAGTTATTTAGATTTTGAGCTTTTCCAAGTTTTTCAAGTTACATTTTCAAAATGAAAGCAGTCAAGAATACTTTTTGCTCCCTAATTTAGACAATCTCATGAACGATTTTGATGTTTGCTGATGTTTTCTCATGTGTTACAATTTTCTCACTTTTGTGCCTGATTTTTTCTGGGTGAACTACATCATGTATAGGACCAGTACAAAACCCATGTTGCATTGTAACGATTACTGAAACTCACCAAAGTTCATGATTTATGCAGCGGATGGGGAACCCTTACCATACACAAAGCATGTTAACGGATAACCATAGAAAAGTCCATATCTTTGCACCTGGAATAACTGCTGACAGACAACTATACATTTGGATTGATTTGGTTTAGATTTTCATGTAACAAAAGTGACATAGCCTTTAATTATTTATCTTGTACTATTCCTCTGCAAGAACAATATATGTTCCAAGTCCTGACTCCTAAGGACATCCAGCAAATATAAACTTATTTTCTACATCATAAATAATTCATGGTCTGAATTATTAGAATCCTGAAAAATCTTACAATTATTTTCCACTGAATTTTAAAATTCTTTCCTTTATGATGAAAAAGTTTCTAATAAGGCCTCTTCAGAAGTGAATTTGCTGCTTTCAAGGGGCATGTGGCATCCCAGAGCAATCCTTAGAAAAGGATTTGCTTGTAATGGTTGAGTTCCTAAATACCTGTAACTCTATCATTTAAACACTGTCAGATCAGGGAGACAAAATAACACGTTGCTGTAATCTTTTACTCTTAGAAAAACCTAGAAAAGCACCAATTGAAAAAAAAAAAAAAAAAAAAAAGAGACTGACATGGGTTGAAAATGCTTTTCTTCTCATTGAGGACTAAGAAGAAGTAAAAAACCAATTTGATTGATGTCAGGGTCTCAAAGTGTGGGTTTCGCAACATGATAGGGAGAAGGCTGTCACACCACAGCCTCTGAAAAAAAAATGAAAGCAGGGCACATTGAAATGGGGCCAGCATGAGCTTTCAGGGCCAGGCCTTCATACAACATACAGCGTTAAGAGCACAGCTGCAGTCAGAGGAGTTAAGCCACAGTTATCCTTACAGAAAGGTATTTTGGAGGGATGCCTTCTTCTAGCAAGTTGTACTAGGGGGTTGGAGAACAAAGTGACACCTAAGGATACAACTGGCTTGCACACAGAAGCATCCCTAGCATCAACGAGGCCACGGGTGAGTTACATTCACTACCTCTGGTCTCTACATCCCCTCCTGCCTCCGTGTTCCCCTTCAGCAGCACGGCTACTGCCCCGAGCACACCAGGCACCACGCAGCAGCAGGGATGGCAGAGCTGGACCCACTGGGAGTTCTGGGATCATCTCCTACAAATGTTTCTGGAGAAACTAACCAGAGTGGAAAGCTAGCACAGGTGAAGCATTTTCAAACTTCTGAAGCTGTCAGGAGAGGTGCTGCTTGGTACACCCTTTGTTGGTATTAACTATGAGTACTGGGAGGCTGCAAACCTTTGTGAAAAGATTGTGCAAGAACAAGCATTAAATTCAACATGCTGTTTACTTTAATTGAACAATATTCCATAGCCACTCTATAAACAGAAATAGACAACTATTCACCTACAACATTTACTTTTTTTAGGTCTGTTTTGGGAGATGTTTAAATTAATTAGTGGACTTGGGGAGAACATCAAGGATGAAGACACAGAACCTATAAAGATTAATACAAAATGGGCTGAACCATAATCTTAGAGAAGAGGATCTATTAAATTGTCAACTTCAAACTCCAAGCTCCTGTTTTTTAAGAAAACCTCATAATTTAATATTGAGATGCTACAGCAAAACATGAGTACAACCATATCTTTTGAGTAAACAAGAATTGCAAGAGCCAGACAAGATCCACAGTCTATCAGCCAGAGATATAGAGTGGGTTTTCCCTCAAATTATCAGCTTAAATACATGGCAATCAGTGAGAATATACATCATACAGATATACATATTTTATATGAAAATGTGCCACAGACAGCTTTTAAGAACTGCAGCCATCTGACTACCCTCAACACTAATACATCCTGAGTCTGGTGATCATAGTGAGAAAGAAGAAAGATGTCATGAAAAGAGCCTGCATTATTATCAGAAAAGTGATTGGTGTTAAAAAAAGAAAATACTAATATTGTTCTAAATATTAGTCATTCTGATCAAAGGCTTTTAGTTACCCCTTTCTGGAGTCCCCCCAGATAGGAATGTTGGGAACTTCTGCATCAAGGGGAAGAAAAAAACAAAACAAGACAATCCCCAAAAAAACAAAAACAGAAAACAGAAGACAAAATAAATTTCTGAGCCCTGCTTCAAGAAATAGTTGCTCAAACTACTTCCATCAGGGCAAGTCCCAAAGGACCAGAAAGTCACAGAAATCAAATCCTGATGGATTTAAATCTTCACCTCCCACATCCTCTCCAACCCCAATTACCATTAAGTTTGAAGAGAAGCCCTACAAAATATAACAAAGTGAAAAATGCTGGGTAGAAAGGGAGAAGTAAATTCTAAGTAAACCAGTAAATAATTAACAGTTCATTTAAATTGAAATCTTAATCTGAATCTGAATCTAAAATAACAAACACAGTAGATTATTTTAATAATTCTCCCTATTCTGGATTAATCATTTTTTTTAAATTATTTTTATTTATTAAATCATCTGCCTGTTAAGTAGGACCATTTCTTTCTTACTGCGTAATGGGATTAAGTGTATTGTGAGCTTTTTAAAATGTTTGTTGTAATTCAGATATTTTCTGAACCTAAGTGACTTTAAAGTAATTTATTTTTCTGAATTTCTCAAGCCCCGAGTAGTCTGCTTTTCTCAAATTTCAGTCCATGATTTTGACTCCTGTATAGATTCAAAGATGTTTTCCCTTCACCTCATGCTGTAGGTAATCAGCATTGTTGAAAACAAATACTAAGCCAGAACAGATAGTCTAAGTCATTTCCTAGAGAAGCCAGGCCTTGTTGTTTCAGTCACATCAAAGATACAGTAGCTGGTGTGCTCACAAATTGCTGACAATAAATGGGGAGCTGTTTATCAGCTGGAGCAGTGCTGCAGATATAGTTGAGAATATACAAACCAGAGAGTTGTACCCAGTACTTCAAGCTGGCAAGCAGGTATTCTTTCACAAATCATACCCTATTTTCTTTTCTCCAGGAAATTTTGTATAGCACTACAGGAATTTTTCATCTGGAGAAATGCAATATGTTTAGGAAACCAAAGAGAACTCTTTTCCAATCACTGTATCACTAAATAGCTGATTTACTGGTACCTGCTAAAAGACAAAAAGCTGCTTGTGATGTAAACTCAACATGTAATGTTTCCAACCAGGGATATGAGAACACAGATCCTAGGTCACATACGATCTGCAGTAATTATTATTCTGGTAATTTCAAACTGTGAATGAATTGCAGTGAGTTTAAACAGATTCATGTGACTGACGTCCCACATAATGCTCTAAAGAAAACTTATGGGGAAATGCTTTTACAGCAGTTATGTTGATGGCACACCTCACAGGAACAAAAAAGGCATTACAAAACTGGTCTCCACAAGGAGTCTGCACAATTTATTTAATGCAAACATAGAGATGTAAGCCATTCTTCAATACAGAGGGAACACAGGTGTCAGAGCAGAGCACTGCAGTATCTACTTTTTATACAACAGATTGGTATGAAGTGTATATTGCAATGTCATTTAGGTTTTATACTCTCTAAGAGCATTTTAAGAGAGAGAAGTTTCATAAGAACAGGATCCACAAAACTCAACAAGCTAAAGAGGAAATCAGCTAAATTAGCCAGTATCAATATTGAGAAAAAGGCGTTAGCTATTATGTTTCGAATCTTCCTGAAAACTTCTGGGATTCAACACTTACAACTCAGAGTCTTTACTTACCTCCTCTCAACCCCAATCCTCCCAAAATCTGCAGAGTTCTTTCTTTAATCACCCTTTGCTCTCTTTGCTCCTGGGGGAGCTAACTTGTCTTCTGATCTACATAATTTTCCAGTTATGCTGTAGGGTATTCTGAGCTAAAAATGCTCTACACTTTCTTGTTGAAGCTGTTCTGCATGGACAAATTAGGTAGGCACGAGAGAGAAAAAACAGTAAGACGTCATGCATCAGTAACCTGCTAATGAAGGTATTCACTTCTAAGAGGGAAGACTCAAAATTCAGCCTGTGATTCAGGCAAAATTTGACACAATATATTTAGGAGAAAATAAATAAGAAATCAAAAATCAAATCTCTCACCTCCAAGATGACAGACCTAATTGTAGCATAGACTTATCCCCATCTTCTCTCTCTGGCCAAATTAATATGAAACTATCCCCTAGAGTGCAGAACAGCCCCTTAGGGGACACTTTTCTTACATTAGCTACTGTCTGCAGCTTGGTTCTTCATAAAGGAAGACACAGGTTCAAATGAAGGAAAAGAGGTGTCAGGCCTGGCTGGATGAATCTTTCAAAATGTATGTGGGGGAGCCTCACAACATATTTTTTCTAGACTTCCTGATGCACCATTTTATGCTTTACAGTATGCTTAGGATGCTTTAATACTGGAAACATAAGAGTCCATGAAATTTAGAAGACCGGACATTTCAGGACCTATGTTCTACATTGTGACATTTAAATTGGCAGTTGTGTCCTACAGCTTCCTTAACATGGCATTTGTTTCTGTTAAGGCCAACATTAAATTCAGAAAATGTTGAAAGGACTTGTTTGTATTCATGATACTGTAAACTGTTTAAATTCTATGAAGTTTTGTGTGGAATAGTTTGTCCCTTCCGTGCTTGACATTTTTTCCTGGAAAACTGGATTTATGCTCCAGTATCTCCACATCCACAGAATCACACAAGCATATGTGTACACGTAGATAACCACGTACACAGAGAGACATAGACATGCATACAAACACATGCACAGACTGACTGTTGACTATTTTTTGGTAGTGTTTTGGTTAAATATAATTCACAATTAAATGCTGGTTCTGGAACACCCTTCCAGGGATTCAGCTGTTCTGCTCAAACTTTCTTCACATGGCTGAAGAAGAGACAAAACATTGGCAGCCTTTTTTATTGAATTAATTTGATTTTTGTCTTTTGTCCTGCCAGCTATCAAAATTGTCAAATAAACCAGCTTTGATTCATAAATAATGGTTCCATTATATTTACTGTGCCACTGGTCAGAGTACCTGAAATTTTAATTCACTTGTTCAGCTAAATTTCATCCTCAGTTCACGGCCATAAAATTCTATATTGACAAACTTTCAAACCAACTTTGACTCTGAGGTATCTAGTCAACATTTTTCTTCTGTGTGGATATTAGTTTATTGAATAAGTGGCATCTGTTTTCCTCCACATCACTAGTGGAGTAGGTATTTCCTTTTGACAGCTTTGCACGATTTATGGGTTTGCATGCTCTGAAGAAAAATAGTACTAAGCAAAAAATTCCAATTCATTACCTCTTAGTACTTAATTAAGTTCATACACATTGCACACTATAGGTGAACCCTGAAATGACTGTGACAGCCACTGAGCAGCAAGTTAGATTATCTTTGGAAGACAGAGAGACTTTTAATTATCTTGACCTCATTTTTCCACCTATGATATTCATAAATTTTCCTTCTATTTTGTTGCCTCCATCAGATGTACCAAACCATTCTGAAAACAAGATTATATCCTTAGCTATTTCCTTTTATCTGCACATTTAGGCACCAAATGTTTTTACAAATAGTGAAGTCAAGCAATGGTTTTTATCGGCTTACTTCACACAGCTGCAGATGAATTATGTTGTACAGACTCCTCCTAATAATGGTTTGGTTTTGGAAATGATAACAGTTTGATAAAAGAAGAAAGCAGTGGATCTGGCTATCAGTAGATACAGAAATAAAGAGAGCCTGGGCTTTACCTGTCAGGGTTCTGCGTACACACATGCATCTGTAAGAGGATCCGCTGGGTGAAAGTCTTAAAGCATTGCCCACATTTCCAAAGATGCCAGTCACTGAACTCAGAATTTAGTTGGCTTGTTGAAGTTGGGCTTGCAAGAACTCGTTGATTTTTGACACTGATCTGGTTAAATCCTGACTCGATGGACCCAGACTTATCCAGGAGAGAAAAATTTCTGCTACACGGAGTCTGTGGAAATACTACGGATCGTTGTGGAGTGGCAGGGGATAGTTTGCTACTTTTATTAAATGGCTGTAGGGTGTCTTGTCTGGACATGGCCTCCATTACAGTCGAAGGGACATTCACTGGGAGAAAACAAGAAAAGTAAATAAGACCCTTTTTATGCCTTTTTAAAACTAATACAGTGTTGGGAGACACCAAAAAAATACCAATATCCGTTTTCTTGACACTAGAATTAAGCAACTTGATTTTAACAATGCACAAAAAAATGGGCTTGAATGAGACAGTGATCTGAATGGATGATGCTGATTCTGTGACACTGAAATGAAAACTCATGTAAAGGGGTGTTTGAGACTAAAAGGACCCAGAAAAGTCTGACTGTGATATACATTTATTGCACAGTGGGATTGTCATCTGAAAGAAAATGCTGCTGCACTTGTGATACCCTGATTCTGCATGTTGCAGTCAACACATCCAATTGCTATATCACAGACAAGCTTGAATTTTGAGAGCATGGGGAAAAAAATCCTTGCTTGGACACTCCTTGAGATACAACAAGATTTAAATATCTACTGCAGCAGTAGTTCTCTTATCATTTTTAATGACATCCAGTAAGGATATTATACTATTACATCTTATAGATAGTCACACAGCCAATACAGTACAAAGCCAGTGACTTCACCATGACTCATATGATTAAGGCTAATAGTGGTTGGATCAACACAAGACGACACAAACTATTGGCAGAGATATCTTTGTGCATCCATTTCCCACCTACAAAATAGGAACAAAAATTGTCTCTGGTCCTATGAAGATCTTATGATCATCAATTAACAATGGCTTATGAGGCACTCAGATATTTCAGCAAGAAATGAAATAACGCTCTTCTCACAAACAAATGATTTAGTGCTGAATTTGAACATTGCATGATAAAGAAGGTAGAAGGTCAAATGTATAGAAGAAAGTTGAACAACTGTCTCACTCCTTGAATACCATCTAGATCATGCAGTGAATGAAGCAAGGATCCTATTGAAAAATGGGGTCAGCTAGTGAAAGATTGTACCACTGCAAAAAGAAGCATAATCTAGGCCACCTGGGGCCAGTACCTTCTCATGCTTTCTAATTTTGTCACACTCAACTTCATGAGGTAATATTTTAATGGGGATTTTTAAATCAAATATGTTGTATGCACGTGTCTATGTCTATGTAAGTTCACATATTTAGTTACTGTCACAAAGTGTTTATATGTACATATCCACATGTAGGTACATAGCACTTACTAAACAGGTGATTAGAAACGGCAACTCTGTTCAGGTAAAAAATGATGACAGATTTTTAAGAGAAAATATGAGAATATTTGAGAATATATGAGAAGCTGGAAGCATCCAACATTATTTAATATACAGTAAAAATACTTATACACAAAATTTAAAATATTTATTATACAGTAAATATGTAATACAAACTAATGTGTTGATAATACCTTAAATAATGAGAGTTATTTCACAGAGTTGTGTTCTAATATCTTCCATCATAATAACTCCAATGTTATAATATTACATGCTATTTAATTTACTGAAGTTGAGGTCCTTCTTAGGCTATTCTTTTCTGGAGTATCTGAGGGCCTGATTTCTAAGTAGAGTTATATCCATGGGGCTGTCTATCACAAGTTTTCAGACATATAATACATCTTCTATGTCTCTTCCATACAGGAAGCAATTTGTATACTTATATTTTGCCCCAACATTCCCACACAAGAAACAGATCACTTTTTAATTTTTTTTTTTTTTTTTTTGATTGTATACGTAAAAGTCCACAGAAGCAATAAGATCAGGATATTAAAGACCTAAGGAACACAGGCAGAGTTTGTAGTGGGTGAAAATACCCATGTGCATAAGATAAGCAGGAGGTCTACTCTGAGGACTTAAAAAGCACTTAAGTCATACACCAGCCTGCAGATGGCTTCATGGTCAGAGGTGAATTTCATCTACTCATGTCAGTCTCTCTGTGGATGAAACTGTGGTTTCTCTCACAGCAAAATAGCAAGTGACATTATTTAGAGATTTTAGCCATAATGCTTTGCTTTTTCAAATAAAGGTTTTGTAAGCTTCAGCTCATGAAAGAAAAAATAATATTTCTATATTATATACTGTGGAGCATGAGTTTTATCAGCAAACATTACTGCCAGTAATTAAATTTCTTTTAAACTTTTCTCAAGCCCAACAGATTTGAAAACTTAAGATGAAAAAGGATGTTTATTTTTGACAGTTTAATCCTTGCTATCTTGCTGTTTTATTGCTGCATGGTTTAGTATTTAAGTTACTACAAGACACAAGTTCATCCTAGCATTGCTATGTAAGTATCCAAGTACTTCACCAAAAAAATACATCATATATAATTGATTAAGTGTGGGCAGCCTCAGGGTTACTTTAGACCAAAGTCAATCAGGCATCCATTATTGGTTTCTTCCACCATGTAGATATACATAGCTGTCAAAATGGAAGAGAGCATTTTGATGCAAGCTCTAATCAAGTTCCACATACAAACAGTGAAACTGAAAGGCATGCTTGGATCACCCATTCTCATTACAGACAAGGGTATCCAGCACTAGATTGCACTGGGTCTTTTGTTACAAATCACGTTCTTAATTTTGTGACAATTCCTAACAAACTAAAAATAAAATATTGAAAAGAGGTGAAAGAACGGATGGAAATGGGGATGGCCAGGATGGAATGGAGGTTCATTGTCATTTCAGGCTACTTACACTCAGTTTGTATTTAGAGGAGCTGGCTTTTACCTTTTGACCACAAGGATCTTATCTCTACAATCAGTCAGACAAAGCTTTTCTCAGCATACTCAGTGGTAATAGAATGAAGAATCACTAACAGAGGCCTTGTGGACCTGCAATATATTACTGGTTTGGCAAGACAGTGTCTTGTGATAGGTCTGATAACAATAGAGAGAGCCAAGCAAATTGGTTAAGAATAGACTAGGAATGAATCACTTATAAGAGTGATTCTACATGCTACCTAGCTATGTGGGGCTGCCATGGTGGGAAATGTGCTGTTTAGTTGCACGTACCTGCACACTTCCAAACACCTCCATTTACTTAGGGAGCCATACCATGATTTCACATAGCTTAAGTGTATCAGCTTCAGGCTTTTGTTTTGTACATATCAAGCTTACCTTAAGCATATAAACATTTTCACTGAATATGTCTTAAAATAATCTAGAAATATAGCTGATTAGTTATGAGGCAGGAATTCTGGTTTACACAGGTAGAAATGCAAGGAAGAACTTACAATTTTCATCTTGTGCAATGCACTGGAGAGGAATTCCAAAGAAAGATGTGTAGCTGTCATTGTACCACACCAACAGTTCAGTACCCCTGGGGATATCTATACAAGCCCGGTAGAATATATTTGACCTAATCAAGAGAAAAAGAAAAAAATGCCTAATTTAGGAATAAAACATTCTCCTTTTATCATACACAGTATTACAGTAGAAATCCTTTGTTTTGGAAGCATTTCTGCAGATAACTACATGAATAACTTACTGATTATTTTAAAACTAAATCTACTATTAAGGAAGGACTTTTTTCCAGTAGCACAGAGTAACAAAGAGTTTACGGGCACTTTATACCTAACATACCTTAAGCACTAAGATTTTACAAGCATCAAGATTTTATGAAAAGACAGATATTTTCCTGCAGCATGCCTTTTGAAGGGATTTTAGAAATGCTACGTTTTCTTCACACAGTGCAATCATCAGCATGGTTCACACAGTTCAGTAAGTTCAGTCATTTAAACAGCTTTTCATTTGTCATCTAAGCTAAAGTTAATATATTTTAGGGGTAAATAGACAACAGTTCTTTAATTTGAATAAATTCTTTTAGAAAAAGATTTGTAGTAGCATAATGTGAGCTTTCATTACAGTAATACACCACCAAAAAGAGAGATCCTGGATTGCTGAGGAGAATAGACTTTGGCTTAGGGAAATAAAAAAATGGGGTTAATCTGAACATACAACCATAAAATGTTCCCCTGTATGGAACATGAGGGTAACATCGATGATCCTTCAGTAAGTATACATTAGTGTTACAATTAATGTGATATCTTATCACAATGTTTTGTGGGAAAGGACTGTGGATATTCCTAGATAACTGAACTGGGAGTTGAGGGGGTAAAAAGGAAAAAACCTGGAGTGTCTAGCATAAAAAAAAAAAGCCTTATCCTGATCTTGCACTGATCGAAATGGCTTCAGAGTGATACTTCTACAGTGAACAGATTTACATGGGGGCAAAAACTGTGTAAGGTTAGAATCAGGCACAAGATGAAAGAAAAATGTTATCAGTTTGTAGTGGCTTTTCCCTTAGGCTTCACATGGAACAGTAAAACACATGCCTGTGAGATGGATAGAAATTCAATATATACAAGAAGAACACTCCACTCTCGCTGAAGGATTACATACCAAAATGATACAGTCAAAGTACCAAGAAATGACCATTTTTTATAACAGCTTATGTAAGGGAGAAAACCATCTATAGACCAAAAAAAAAATGTTAGGCCTCAACTGGTTTTCTGAGTGAAGAATTGCTACAAATGTTAGCCTGAAGTTCAAGATAAAAGTGTTTAGAGTTGGTAGGCCTTAAATTTAGACTTTCTATAAAGAATTGGCTGTAGCGATGCAATTTGTTCCTTGTATAACACTGCAGACATAAGGAGAATCTTTTACCACATTTTTCATGGCAGTGAGATATGCACTTGTCAACATATTTTGTCACCGCAAAGTGGCTCTTGGCAACAGGATCATAAAGATCAATAAAAAAGTGCAGATTCTCAATATTTTACTAGCAGCTGCAAAAATTTCATTTATCTTGTTATTTTCCTCGCTTACTGCCACCCTGTCTCAGGAGGGCACTGCTAGCTAAGCAGAACGGTTTTCCTACCCGCCTATGAATATCTGACAAAAACTCTCCCCTTTGTGTCTCTCCCTCTCCTTTCCTCCTCCTCCTCTTTTCCTCTTCTCCGTCTCTTTCTTCCCAGAGTCGGTTTCATTAATTCTTTCCACTGTTACATAAAAATGAAAATCAGAGCCATGCTATAAATTACCAGCATCTCCTAACTTGAGAAAAATTGAGTCTACTTTGTACTTCACCCTTGTAACATTTCATCTCTCAGTTTGGCTTCCCCTAACATAAACACAGCAGCCCAGCAAATGAATGTGCTAAAACCAAATGACACACTTTGCCGCTGAAAGAGCAGAACTGTTTTTGAGCAATGGGTGGTCTGTGAGGCTTGGAGTAGGCAGGGAAAAAAAAGTGTAAGCGTACACCGTCCCTTACAAGCGTGCAGAGCTTCCAAAACTCGCAGAAATCTCTGCATGCTGAAGTACATCAAAGGGATTTTTCCCTTTTCGGATAATATTTCCTTTGCTGACATGTATTTAGTATTGTGGTTGGATGACTCATAAAGATAGCTTCATGGCGTCCCAACGCAGTTGAAGCAGAACACATGCCAACAAACATTATTGTCAGCCTCAAAATAAAAACAAAACGTTCAGCTAAGGGTCAATCAATCAAGAGCACTTTGAAGAAAATTCCATTTAGATATTACAAATCATAACAGAATGAATTTAAACCAGCTGACTTTCTGTGAGGAGGACGTCCATGTACAATAAAAATTAGGCCGGTTTTTCAGTATCCAACTTTTCTATTTTCTTACACTTGGATGCAGTCACTGGTGATGGATGCCAGTTTTTTAAATTGTGTTTTTGTAGTTCATTTTATAAAGATCTGAAGTAATCGAAAACAGATCAACAGAGGGAACTCTAAGTAAAAACTCCATCATGAAAGGAGAGTTGTAAAATCCACTTAATATTGACAGATGTGTAATGACTTTCTCATGCTCACTTTTCATTTAGGTTTGTCATCTATATATATGTATGCATATATATTTTTTTTCTTATTTTTATATATGTATATATGTGCACGCACAGACCATCACACTGAGAAATAGTTCACGAGATACCTACAAAAATACTCTTTCATCACAGTGATCTTTATTCATTATCCAGTGTGTTTATTTAAAATCCAGTGGGATTTTAGCTATAGATATCAGATATTTAAGGGTATAATAAAAGTTTTGTAATGTATAAATAAGATTGTTATTTTTTTTAACTGCAGCATTATTTAGTCAACTGGCCAGAGAATAAAAAAGCTGAAAATGCAATTGAACAATTTCACCATTGTTAAATTGGAACCCTATGGGATAATCAAACTTTATATAAATTTCATTTTAGCTTGCTTTTGTATGTTTTATTTTTAATTTTAAAGGTACTTGAAATAAGTTTAAGATTCTTCCTAGAGAAAAGAAACTCCACTCTCTAAAGCAACCAGTGAAAATCAGGATTGATCACTGCGACTGGCAAGCCCAGGGCATTCTTTGATGTGCTTCCTACCATGTTTAATAAGGCCTAGCAGTTGCTTCTGATTCTGAGGCAAAAGGTTTGTTTATAGCTGAGATCATGTATTTATGTAATGCATTGTCTGGGGTTTCTGGACCTGTTTGCAAGTACAAAGTAAAATGCACCCTAATTTCTTTACATTTTTCTTTACATTTTGACCTTCTCTAGCCAGCGACATAAGGGGCACAAGCACTAGCAATCTTTTACAGCAGGTGCACTCAATATATAAGCTTTGGGCATATATATGTCTCATGACTGACTCTTGGAAAGCCTTTGGGTTCAAAACTCCTCTCATGACATTTTCCCTCTTCCTCTAGTACCTGGCATCTTTAAGGGCAGAAGATTGCTTGCGCAGGTCTGCTTCTGATCAGAAGGTTTGAAAATGTGCAGAGTGCGTGCAGTGTGGTGGTCACACAAGCCACACAAGGGTGTACTTTTTCCCAGGAGCTCCAGGTCCAGCTCACTTCCTTACTAGAACAGCCTCAGCTCAGGGCAACCATAGTTAAACCCATCTTCACTACACACTCTGGAGCTTTTATATTGCCCCAGATGACCACATTCACAAAAGCCTTGCTACTGCCTTTGCAATCAAAGGCAATAGTACTGGTGACAGTTATAGTCTGACTTTTAACTAAAAATGTTTTTAGTTTGTTGCACTGAGTAAATCAAAACGTACATTACCTGTACTGAACCACTGTTAAGTTCTGTTCCCCGCAGTGCCTTGCACATCGGATGTACCTCATCCAGCTTGACTTACTGGGTTCTCCACCATCAATAAAGTGCTGCAGTGTCCCATCTTGATCATATATCTAGGGGAGATGTCACAAGGTCAAGTAGTTAGAACAAATCATCAACAATCATTTTCACTGCTCTGCTGATGCCTCTCTGTGCCTTTTCCAGGAATTTATTGCCATGAGATTTGTCATTATCTACTGATGCTCTTAAAAATCTACATGGAACAGCAGAAAAGTATTTTGGGGGATGCAAGTTTATCACGTTTCTTTTATCAAGCCAATCTTTTTGTATTAAACATATTTGTGGTGTCTCAAAGATGTGACCATGTTTCCCAAAGAATATTTAACCTATTTTGACAGGCTAGCCTTAAATAATGAACTGCCAGATAAACAAGAAAATCTGAATGTAAAGCATGCATTGAAATGGCTGGAACATCTGAGCAAGGGGCAGTAGTAATCTCTGAACAAGCATCCCTTCCCTTGCATCTCAGTTGCAGCAAGAGCATGTACTTCAGCAACCTCACATGATACATTAGGGAGTTGTAGGATTCATAATACCAAAACAAATGAGACTAGAAGGAAAAACAGAGTTGAAGATGCCTTTAGAAGCTCCCTTGAGACATATAATTTTTTGAAGTAGTAAATGAGAAATCAGTCCTGAGGGAATCATGGTTTTCCTAAACATGACATTCCCTGCTAAGGACAGAGAGACAGTACTTTTTTAAAAAGACAGTATTATGTCTCTATTTGGCACCAGATGCTCCCTCTGAAGTCAAAGAATAAAATTACTCTGGAGGCTCTGAAATGAAAAGATACATTTTTCATGCATACCCGCCCTTCTGATTGCTTAAAAAATGTTATCTAGGAAGTGCTAATCCCAGTTAAAGCACATGGTCTAACAAGATTTTTTCCTGTTACACAATTACTTTGTTAAACTTCAGAATTGCATCTGAATAATTAGGTGTTTATCTGAAGCAAACCTGTTCTTCAGATCTTTTGCCCCTCCAAAAACACCATCTGCTTTAATAATCCTACCCCAAAAATGTTATCCCTTTTGAAATTGTATAAGCCTAAATTCATGTCTTCTTAAAAATACTAATTCTGCTAATCAAAGAGGAAGCAAATTCATTACATTGAATCGAACATTTCTAGAGCAAATAAATTAACAATCTTGCATTTCTATTTCAATATCAAGAAAATAATCTCAGAAATTATGTGACTATATTCAATATTTCTGATTTATTAAAATAATGTTCCCTACAATGCACACAAAAACGTACACAGTAATCAGAATCTAGTTCTTTACTCTACCGCATGAGAGTCTCAAATTCAGGAGCCAGCCTTGCTTTTGTTTTTGACCAAGAGGGACTGGGAGTAATCAGGAGCAATATATCCATTGCTAAAGCATGAGAGACAGGGAAATCAAGTGTCTGCAGAGATCCTTATCATTTGTTCCTGAGTGCCTGTGACAAGGACCAGGTGGAGCCTTGGCCAGGTGCTCCTGGGTTGGAGAAGCAAGATGTTACACCAACATGCACTGACTGGTGGAATAAAGTCAGAGAAATCAGAAGAGGTCCTCAGAGGCAAACAAATACTCCAATACCAGGAATTTAATTTATTTTTCATATATGGTAGCTTGCTGATCATCAGCAAGGACTTATTCTTATGTGAACATGTTAATGTATGCTGACTATACCGGCAACATATGCTAACCAATAAAAATCTGTAATGGAAATGGAAAAGTTTTACAGGAAATCAGCCTACAAAAAGGAAGAGAAGAAAAAATTAATGACTAACAGTGCTTGGCTGGGACCATTTTGGCAATATCTATACAAACAGTCTCAGCACAGTGTTTATTATCTGATCATTTGCATGGTGCTTACTAACATAACAATATATGGCTTAACGTGAGGCAAACACAATTCCCATAAATAAAGAGCTGATAGCTTCCTAATCCCCCGATGATATGAAACAGAAAAGACAAAGAAGACTGTCATAATCAGTACTGACAGCCATATCTAGACACAGGGACCTACTCAGAACTTTGTGTATATGGACAGTCATGAGCTGACATGAGAAATTAAAACCTGCCACAACAATGCAGGACTGGAGCTTTCACAGGTCTTGGCCTGGAGTAGGAAGGACTTCACTAGAAGCAAGACTAAATATTTTCAAATTCTTTATTCTTGCAGGTACTGGTGCATCAGTGACACTATGCTCTCCCTTCCTAGGGGGATATTACTGACATTGCAAATTAAGCTGCACAGTCATAATCCATCCTACAGCATTCCCAGTCCTGTTCTTACAGGAATGAAAGCCAGCTGTAAGAAAGCAGAAACGCGAACCTTAGAAGGGAAATAGCAACACTGCATTGTGTCTTTTTATTTGTCAAATTGCATAATACAGGTTAATATCTGAAAAAGCTCGACTGATGTGGTTAGAATTATTCATGTTACCAATGTGCATTAGTTCTTATTCATTTTACAGTTGTCTAAATCTGACAAACACTATATAACTTCCTAAAGAAACCATCATGAGGTAGCAAACCCTGGCCTGCCATGACAGAGGAAAAGCAAACCTGTAGCACAACTTGTGAACCCAGACACTATAGCAGACTACATGGATATACATATTTGCCTGCATTTGTATTACTTAAACACTCATAGTATCTATTTAAAAAATTACTGCTGAATCCTGTGATAAACTGATGTTACTGAAAATCTTTTACTACCTCACTAGACCACTACATCCATCTACATTGGCATAGCACATTGCGAGAGGCTCATGGCAAAGTAAAATAGCTTTTCTCCAACTCCCTGTGGAGAACGGATGTATTTTCTTCCGTATCTCACAACAGTTATTGATCTAAGTAGTGGAAACAAAATCAGTTATTTCATTTTTCTACTTTAGTTACACTTGGAAGTGTTACCTAAACTGCTTACTGGATCTTTTCCCTCTTCTGATCCAAAATACTTGTTAACTACTGGTTTTGTCGAGTTTTAAGGTTTTTTTTTTGCTTTTGCTTTAAATGTTTTAAAACTTTCAGATTTCTTTTTTATGGTCTGTTCCAATCTTCAGGAATGAACCTGGCTACTGGCAGAGACCGGAGTCTGATAAAAGAGGACTGCACTCACCTTCTCATTTGACATGCTTTGGGTTCCTTCTTAGTAGTTCCCATACAATTAACTTCTTAACAGGTTCTTGACTATTTACAGGTCGTTCACTGTTATGTTATATACAAAGATACTCAAAATGTGAAGCATATTATTGTTCTATGAGCTTCATCCTTTGACTTCAGAATACAACAGAAACAGCTTTATTTCCCAATATAGTCATTCCAAAGTGTAACGAGCACAATTCAAGTCTTCTGTTTTCCATTTTTTATATTTCTTTCCTTACAAACGCCCAACACATAAATACAGAAAAGCATGAAGTATATGATAAAAGTCTTACAGAGTGCCACTGATATTTGTGACCTACATATACATTCCAACTGGGAAATATGAGGAAAAGCAGGTAGGATGACAATGTACTGATACTGGTCAGGTTCATCTTGTAACAGCATGTAAATATAAATTAAATATGAAGGACTGGATTTATTACTTATTGGATTGGTTATTGATAATTATTTGGAGGCTGTAGATACTGAAACTTATAATGACAATGATAAGAGTAACACATAACAGCAATAATAATATAAATTCTAAAGCACACAGTGTCTCATATAAGTGATGCTCTAAAATCTATGAACAACCATTACTAAGTAAAATAAACAGCAGTTGCTGAAACATCTGTCACCGTGGCAATATACCAAGTCTAGGTAGGACCATGTAAGATTTAAGTAGTATTAACAGATAAGACAGAGTGCTAAAAAGCCTTCTGAGAACTCTCAATTACTTCAGTACTGACATAGTCAGTATTGCTCACTTGGACAGATGAGGACAAATGTAATTCCCATGTTAAAGACCCCTGTTCCAGTTTCTGGTATAGATGCCACAGAATTTTAGAATAATGGAGCCCAAATGTAATAGCACAGCTGCAGAGAAAGCCATACTGTGAAGCAATTAAGAACAATTTCACAGAAGAGACAGGGATAGAAAAAATGGTTAGGCTGTTGGAGTTCTTTCCTCACTATCTGTTGCTTTCCTTTGTTCTCTTTCCATGGCCTGCTAAAGGATTGTGTCTTTAGAAATTCTGCCTGCATTTTATTTTTCCATTTAGTCAAATAAAAAAGGTATTAGCATACAATTTAATTGACCTCTCATTTTCCTTGCAGGCAGAGGGACAAAATTCTGGTCCTGAAAGTGGAATTTTTTTCTGCATGTACATTTGTATTGTAAAAGTAGACATTTGAACCATTTTTTGTGTTGCAAGACATCAAAAGAGATGTGATGAAAACCACAAAATATGCACAAATTAATTCTTGCCGTTAGTGGTGAATCTTGCTTTTTGCTATTTACTGCTATTCTCATTGACATCATATGCGTAAGGTCATAGAATTTTCAAATCACTCAGCATTAGCTTTCTCCTCCCACAATAAATTCTACCCTTGACTTCAGTGGGAAGAGTCAAGACAGCAAGGAGTGCTTCTGATGAGTACAAACATTTCATAAATCATCAGCCTTGTACTTAAAAACCATGGGTGTACTCTAAACTACTGGAAATACAGAGAATAAGGCTGTAAGAATCTGATGAAAATGGAACAGACTGACTTGTCAGATATGGTAACATCCATACAAGTTATATTCTTTCTATAACAGTGTATGAACCTACAAGTAACAGCAACACTGAAAGCTTCTTCCTTTGCTAGCTTGGACATCAGAACTGAATAAACTCTACATTAGGCAAATCCCACTACTGTGAAACCTTGTTTTTGACATAAAAATACTACAACATCCTCTACAGGTGACTGTATCCTAAGTAGAAGTTGAAAACAATGCCAAAAAGAGCAGTGGTTATAAGCCTGGGTACTTAGCTGACAGTCTGTAAAAGGTGGGCAGCTGTGGAAAACTACATTCTGAGTCTGGACTTAAAAAGCCTATTCTTGAAGTTAGAGAGAGCAGCCCTGCTTGTGT